TTGTCTGATGATTCTTGTAAATAGACTTGTTATATCTGCGATTTTGTTTTCTTTTTCTTATTAGAGTGAATGAACTTCATCCAAATATCTGAAATTTTTTTGGATTCTGTTTTGAGGATTTTTCATCTTCTGCAGTATGTAAAGTTGCAAGTGTTTGAAGATTTATGAGTACAGAGTTGGGAGCCTATGAATCTTTTAGGTAATAGAGTTAAATGTGTATAAGCTACAAGTGAAAGTACCTTAGTGTTTTTTTGTTTGTTTCTTTGCTCTAAATGTAACTCTCTGGCTTGCCTTTGTTCCCCGAATAGAATGTGCATTTAAGTAATATGTTGTACTTACTGTGACAGCAAATAATAAATCAGTCTCTTTGAGGGCACATCCTTTATTTGACAAAACTTGGATGTTTGCTTGGATTCTGTTTGTTCCTTCAGATGGCAAGTCAGCATCGTTCTTTTATTTTCCCATTCTAATTTGGGTTTCTTGAACTCTGGCAGGCAATTGAAGTCATTTCTCACTGTGATGAATTTTAGCAGTCTCTTTTCACCCCCTCCTCCCCGCCTTTCCAGAACATTGACAACACTCATTTCTAGTTAATTAATTCGAGAACCCCCCTTCTTCATTTTAGAAACTGGGCTGTGCTGTCACTGAACCCTGTCCCTTTGGAATGTAGCAGGGAGCAAGACTGGGGAGAGAACATGTGGGCACTTAACTCTTTTTGTTCCAAATCATCCCAGAAGTAGACTTCTTGAGATCCATTTCGTGTAAAGGTGAATGCCTGCATGTTCCCCACCTTCATGCCTCTGTAACAGGGGAAGGAATGTTTTATGTTCTATTCTGTGTACAGTGCCACGCCACTAAAGATACATTTGTATCTTCTTTGGTTTAAAAAGCACCAGTCTTATAAAAGTGCCAAAAAACCGTGTCTTCATTGGAATTACAAAAGCAGTTTTGGGGAATAGGAGTTTATTTGATGTCTACCTCCCTACCTATCTACCTACCATCTATCTATCTGTCCACTTGTATCAGAGGTAGGACTGGATTTAGCAAGCACTAAGTGCTTCAAAACCACCCAGATCACTAATATAATCAAGAAAAACTCTAGTGGGAGGTCATGTGTGAATGCTTTAAATGTATCTTCTTGAACCACATTACTGAATTAATGTAGCTAGAGATTTTGTACAATTTATGTCGAACCTTCCAAAATAAAAACAATAGAGATCTAACCAAAAACTTTACAAAAATACTGATTGCTCCAAGTATTTGTGTAGCCATGCTTAAATTGCTTTGTAAAAATAGCTGAAGCATGTTGAGAATGAAATAAAAGTTTTCCCCTGTGCTGTCTAACATACCCTATATAACCCTGAAGACACTTAGCTCCCAAGATTGTGACAATCTGTGATTAACATTTTTTCTCTTATTTATGACATTCCATCAGTAAAGAACCATTGCAAAATTTAAAATACACAAAGGCGTCTTTCTCTTCTGGGGCATAAAGAGTTAAAGCTCTATTCTCTAAATAGAATCCTGGCCAAAAGGAAAAAACAGTGGGAGTCCCTTTTCTCTTTTAACAAGTTTGCAATAGACACTTCTTTTTTTCCTCTCTCAATGGGTGTGTGCACACCAGTGGAATCACACAAACATGTCGGTATGAGCCATGTAATAACAAACACAAGTAAATAAAAGGGAGCCTTGTGAGAATACAGAATGGAGTAATGGTTATGTGTTTTCTAAATAGGAAATGTGGGGCTTGCATAGTGAAAACATGCTGATGACTGCATTGTGTCTGCCTTTGATTCCCGTGGATGGATTAATTCTTGAGCACAACAGCTTCCCTGTCCTCTCCCAGTGGACTCAGAGCTCCTGAGAACTTTGTTTTACATGCTATAGAGGATTAATCACCACCTCAATCAGTCATTTAGAAGGAAGAAAAAAGCAGGCCAGCTTTACAAAATTTGTAAAGAGACAGAATGGTCACAGCAAGTTTTGTGACCATATTATTGCCTTCAAGAGCAAGCTGACAAAGCTTTTAACCTACTTCATTTTAAAAGATAGAGGGGAAAGGGCTTCACTGCTTGATATTGAGTTCAACTATTTACAGAATGATTTTTTTAATACTTTAACAATGGATTTGAAGATTTCAAAAATGTTCACAATCTTGAGATAGTCAGCCCTTTGTATCTGCAGGTTCTGCATCCACAGATTGAACCAACCAGGGATTGACAATATTTGGGAAAAATAAAAAATAACAATACAACAACAAAAAATAATACAAATTTTAAAATTATAACAAAGATTATAACAAGTATAACAAGGATTTATGTAGCATTTACATTGTGTTAGGTATTATAAGTAATCTAGAGATGATTTAAGGTATATGGGAGGATGTGTATAGGGTATATACAAATACTACACCATTTTATATCAGACCTTGCACGTTTGCAGATTTTGATATCTGAGAGGGGGTCCTAGAACCAGCTGCCCCTGGATATTGAAGGACAACTTTACTATACTATTAGAATTTGTCCATATTAATACATCTCATGGTTTTATTTTTGCTTTTAGAAGCTAACATTGATATGCATTTTTCTGTTCAGTAGCTTCACAATCTAACCATAGAGTTTTGGAATTTACTAAAACATGTCCTTTTGCAAAATGGGATATGGAAAAATTATTAAAGTGATTTACCAATTAGTAAGCTTTAAGTCAAAAAATAATGTTTTACATGTTTTGTTTCTTATGTCCATGCTCATTTGAAGTCATTCATATGCTGCTCTGCTAACACCTGACACTTAAATCTTACTTAAATGATTTTTTACTCTCCTTTAATTTTTGACCTTAAAAGATGTTAGAACAAAAATGCCAGTCTTTGCAGGAGGCAAACTTTAAAAAAAAAAATCTTCCAACATCAGTAAGTTCTGCACACAGAGAATCCGTTTTTACATGTAAAACAGTAGGATTAGGCAGAATTTTTAAATGTAGAGACGTTGAGGACGAACCTTAACATTTAAGACCTAGCATAAAACCAGACCTTTGTGGAAAAGCCCTCTTGGTGCTGTCCAAGGTTCTGATTATTTCAGCTACATTGGCCTTTACACAGAAAATCAATTAAAAACCCTTGTTTTCAAAATTCAGACCTTTTCCTTTGCATTTGTTTGACACAATATCTGTTTTCCTCATCTTTACACATTTTATATATTTATTTGGATTTTAAAGTTAACCATTACATGATATTTTACGGTATAAATTTGATTTACCGTCTACAGTATACATGAATTTTTAAGCTAAGCTTTTTCTGTAAACATCGTGACTGGCATTAACTCATCCATTAAACTTTCCTCATTACAGCTAGAGACATTTCTGTCAATAGAAATGATGTTTAGAGTTTTCCATAATTGTTTATTGTTGTATAAGTTAAAACCTTAAATTAGAAACATTATATTAAATGTTTAAATGTTTCCTTTTATTTAAACAGAGTAATATACATTCTTCACGTACTCTCAAGTTCTGTGCTTATTTTATATCATTTAAGCAAGAACTTAGGTAATGTTTTATAACACAGATATAATTTTTACTACCACTTTGCAAAGACCACTTTGCAAAGCTTTGTTGACTAAGAGCATAAACTCTGAAGCTAGAGTTCCTGGGTTCCAGTCCTCACTCTTTTGCCTGTTTAATCTTTGGGGCAGATTCCATAAGTTCTCTGTGCCTCCATTTTCTCATTTTCAGTCTCACTGAAAATGGGTCTTATAATACCACCTGTCTCATAGGAGTGTATATGAGTGAAAATGAATGACTATATATAAAGTGTTTAGTTCTAATATTAATCCCATCACATGGATAAGGAAATTGAGTCACAGATTAATACCCAAGGCCACACATTAGTAAATGCTTAATGATTAATTGGTATAGTTAATTGTAAGGGAATGAGTGAGGGAAAAAATATGGTTTCTTTTCCCAGAAGCATGGAAACCAAATGTAGCAGAAATGCCTAAAGTGTGACGCTGGACTTAGGGCAAAGGGAGCACTATGGGAAGAAGGTAGGCTTGCAATTAGAAAACCCAAGTTCAAATCTTGGCTCCACTTGTTGCCAACTGGGTGGCCTAGAGCAGGTTGCTTAGCCACCCTGACCCTAAGTTTCCTCCTCAAGCACTGTACTGTGCACAGCAGTGAACAAGACAGATGTGGTCCCTACTCTCATGAAGCTTACCTTCTGATGATAATAACAGAAAGTTACTAATAAGTAAACAAATGCATATTAAACAAGAACATTGCATATTGTAGTAAATACCATGAAGAAAATAAGCAAGTTGATGGTAACTAGGGTGTCCTTTCTGAGAGTCATGTTTGAGCAGAGGCCAGAGGTTGAAAAGATGCCAATCATGCAAAAAACGGGGTGAGTGAATTCAAGATGAGGTAGCAACAAGTGCAGAGGTCCAGACTGGACAAGCTTCATCTGGCCAGAAATCAGGAGGGTGACCAATAGGGCCAACACCTGACGGCCAGGGAGAGAATAGCAGGAGACTAGGTCAGCGGTGTCAGCAGGAGTCAGGTCATGCAGTGTCATCAAGGCCATGGGGGGAATTTGAATTTTACTTGAAGTGCCTTGGGAAGCTATTGAGCCATTCTTAGTAGAGGAATGAGAAGGCTCAACTTACAGTTTTAAATGACCACTCTTGCTGCTGTGTGGAAAATAAATTGGAGAGGAGAAATGACATGGGGCTGTTGATGATGATTTAGACAAGTACGGTGACAGTGGAGGTGGAAAGAAAAATTTGAACTGGATATATGTGTTAGAGGTAGAATCCATAGGATTTGCTGTTGGATTGTTGAGGGTAAGGGTAAATGAAGTAAACGAGAATAACTCCTAAGATTTGGTTGAAGAAGTGGATAGGTGATTATATATTCACTGAGGTAGAAAAGTTTAGTGTGAAGAATAGTTCCTCTCTGTGTTTTGTGTGCGGCACAGGGAATCCAGAACTCTGTTTTGGGCAAATGAAGTTTGAGATGCCTTTGAGACATCCAAGTGGAGATGATTTTAAAAAGTAATTGAACATACAAGATTAGAGCTCAGAAGACAGGTCAGTATTGGAGATAAATATTTGGAGTAATTAATTGTACATGTAAATGATAACAAGCCGTGGAAATAAATGAGATTTTCTAGGGAGAAAGTGTAGACAGACCTAATGAAGGGACCTGATATAAATATGTGGCCCACAATCTAAGCCCACTCTTAACATTATAGCATAAGGTTTTTTCATATGTTAAAAAACCCTCATAAAAAGAGTTCTAATGACTTTATCATCAAAATGTACCAAAATGGACTTTTTGTTCCTTTATTGTTGGACATTTAGTTTTCTGTTTCTCTTCATTACATGTGCTGCAGTGAACATCTTGGTGCATAAAGTTTTATCTGCATTTTTAGTTTGCTATGGTAAGTCAAAGAAGGAAGATAAGGGATTAAAGATTTTCTCAGAGATGGATTTATATTAGAAAAGAAAGGACATTTCCGAATCCAGTGATGATTAACGAGGTAGTTCTGACCAAACCTCCCTGAAGACAACTAAGATGCAGGTCAAAATATTTTTAAACTACTATTTCAAGGTGCTGGAGAGATAGCAAGACACAACGAAGAATGACAGGGCTAAGGTCTGGGAATGGTTGTATTTCATTTCAGAAGAAGAGGCAGAGAGGCCAGGAGGCCGTGGGAGCCAAGGCAATGGAATACTGTGCTGGTGAACCTCCACTTCTTCAGAGACCAAAAGGGCTGAATCAGAAGAGTAGCAACAAGCCAGAAGTAGCTCCTCCCGAATACTGCACTCATTACTAATCATTGCAGTCCCAGAAAATGAATTGAGGTAACTCTTGTGTGCCATGACATCTGATGCTGATGACACATCTGTATCCTAGAATACTGCTGACACAGATGCCTGGCAACATAAATTCTGGAAAAAGATAACATAGTCCTTGGTCTTAACTTACTTGTGTACATTTTCATATATGTTCTCTAGCACTCAGTCGTAAATATTAGAAGGTGACAAGGCAGCATGATGTGAAAGTCAAAAGAAACTAACTAAAAGAAACAAACAGAGAGGCACCAGATACTGGAGTTTTCTGACAGAAATGTGAAATAACTTTGTTCAACATGTTTAAAGAGACCCTAAAGGACAGTATTGGAAACATCAGCAAAAGAAAGACACACTATGAAAAGGAATCAAGTGGAAATTATTAGA